AGGACATGCAGGCTGGTGAGGCTACGGACAAACACGATCTAGATTGTTTCTCGAAGCGTCCTTGCTCCTAGCAGCGATGTCCTTTGCTCCTAGTAGCTTCTTGCTACTAGTAGTAAGGCCAGGAGCTACTAGTAGCGTCCTTGCTCCTAGTAGCGAAGGAACATGAGAACAAACGCAGTGGGGTCTAAAGACTCCGTTTAGGGGGAAGAACGTTCCGCTGACTGCTGGAGGCCCCAATCCTGAACTTCTGCAAAGATGCACTCCCTTCCTGGGCGTCAACACAGAAGGCATGGCACAAGATGGCACAAGAATTCAAGCAACAAGCTGCAAACATCTACGGCTGGCTAGTTCCTCGAGCTCCCAAAAAGGTTGGTTCACTTTCTAGCAGCTGGCAGTGCAGAGGATTTCCAGACTTATCCTGTGAAGGAAGAGCTGAATCCGCTCGAGGCTACACAGGCAGAGTTGCTGTATGGAAAATGACTTCTCTTGACCATGTCTGACAACTTTACTGGAAGTCGTTGGTTCTATCAGGATTTGGCGGCTTTGCATCTAAGCACAGAGGTGCTTGACGAGCCCAGCCCACACCTTAATTCTGAGGGCGCCATGATGTGAACGTGAACGACCCTGGATTGAGCCTCAAGGCCATTTACCAAGAAACGGCCGACTGTATAATGCCGATTTCTTGTGTTCACCGGTGGTCAGATTCAGAAGTTGCTCTCGTTGGCAAAGGAACCGAAGCAACCCTACCTGGTCAGTGCGAAGCTGATAAGATAGAGGACACAAGATACAACACAGAGGTAAACTTTTGAAGTACCCAAAGCCAACAAGCTTTCCAAGACATGCAGGAGCCGTTTTTCCAGGACATCTCTGTCCCAGACGACTTGGTAGAGCGAAAATGCCTCAGCATGCTTGAGAAAAGATGACACATGATAAAACAGTAAAACAGTGAGATTGTTAGACATTCTCAATTTTTCTTAAAGTTGTGAGGGGTTCTCAATTCTTGCATAGAAACGATCCTGGGCCAAGATAATTCTGGCCTTTTGTATTCTGTGTATTCTTTGTCTCCTTGGCTCTTCTGGATGCTGGGCTGAGATGGTCCTGCTTTGTCCCTCTTTGTTCCCCTTGCTTTTCATGGCTGTGGCTGAAATGATTCTGCCTTTTCTCCCTTTGTCTCCTGTGGCTCTTCTTGGGTGATGGGATGTGACACGATTCTGCTTTGTCTTTAATTGTCTTGATTGTTACTATATACTAGTAAGGCACTTGTTACTACTAGCGTGGCACTTGTTACTACTAGTAAGGCACTTGTTACTCTCACGGCTCAACATAGGCAGAAAAATTTCAAGGTTTGCTGGCACGATGAGACATCAAGCTGCCGCTGCTGTTTGGGGGTCGATGCTGGTGTATTTTTTTTAAAACTTATTTATTTCAGGTGCTTTTGGGTCAGGTGAGTCATGTTTGTCCCCTGTTCTCAGTCAGGCGTGGCTCGACTTCCGAATCATTGGCCTGGCACCTGGACGACGGATTTGGAACAAATGCAGCACTGATTGAAGTTTGAGGCGCCGCGCGCTGCTGGAACTCTTGGAAGAGGCTGAAGCTATGCAGCAATGGGAGGAAGATCAGGATCAGGAGCAGTTGGAGCAGCCTGAGTTGGAAACCCTCGCGGAGACCATTCGGCAAGATCCTGAAGTGGAACTCGAGGAGCCTGAGGAGGTCGAGGAACAGGTCCAAAGCGACGCGTGCGAAGCAGAGCACAGCTCGGAGCTTTCAAAGCAGAACGAAGCGTTGGAGACTCCGGAAGCGTCGGGGAGTTCAGAACCTCAGAGTGAGAGGGAAGATAGGCTAGATACGGAAGCTGGAGGAGATGTGCCGGTGCAATCGGGCGATGCGCCAGATCAATCCGAGCAATCCCAGATTCAAGTGCCATTTGTGGAAGAGGTGAAACGATCAGAGGACGAGATGCCACCTGAACCTACCAACAAAGATCTTGTTGCCGCAGGTGGTCTTGGACTTAATTGCTCGGGTTCTTTGAACATTTGGACCATTTGCTTTCGCGTTTTATTTTTCCTTTAGGTGGTCCTGCAGCTGTCCGAGCGGTGAGAGCAGCTTCTAACGAAGTTAAAGATTCAAGTGAAAAAGACATGTGTGGTCCAGATGGGCTACAATGTACATACAGCAATTAGTTTCACAAGAGTTTCACCAACCACAAATAGTGCATGTAATGGCTTCAAAAAGTTTTGAGGGTTTGCACTGCGCTGTCATCATACTGCTGACAGACGAGGGTGGGAGTCTGCAGAAGGAGGTTGAAAGTTGGTTTTGCAATGTTCGCCGTTTGAAAGTCAGAACATGTTGATGCTATTCGTTGTGCTATGATTCGATGCTTTGTCCTGCATGTGACTATATGGTGGCTGCTTAAGCATAGTAATTATTGTGAATTGGAGAAGGCAATGTAGAAGACAGTTTGCACTAAGAGGGCCCGCACAGCCAGTAGGGATGAGATTCAGTACCTTTTAATAGGCAAGTATATAATATAGATAGGATCTCTCCACTTGCTGCTCCACGGGAATAAAGGTTTTCCTGGACACGATTCCAGTTTCCTGCAGTGCAGTCAATGGCTTCGCGCTGAACCAACCATCAATGACTTTAAGATATTGATCTAGACAATGTCTGCTGCGAAGTGCGCTGGACCCTAAGAGATTCGACAATTCATGATAATCCTGACTTGTGATATTTGCAATCCTAGGATTTCAGAATACCAACATGGATGCTTTGCAACTGTAGCTCTCCGCTAAGGGGCTTGCTGCAGTCAGCAGCGTGGCTGTGTTGAGCACATGCTGGGAGGCAAGAATCATGGGTCAACTGATTGGTTGATCGGTGGGTTCAAGAATATCAACCGATGGGAAGGAGATGATGGAGACGTCAGGTGCGGCGACATCAAGCGCTCAGCAAGTACGAGGCGAGGTGCGACAGCCGAGACGACCGAGACAGCGGTTGTGACGAAGCACCGGAGGCGTTCCCGTTTGCCCAAGCGCTTTTCGGGTTGGCCAGGAGATGAAGCGGCGCTATGTCGAGACGGGCTCCGAGATGCGGTTTCCAGCCTGAGAAGGAGCTGTAAAGCAGAGCAGTTTTTCGGTCGTGAGAGGTCACGACTCGCACGACAGATCCGTTCTTTTCTTTTGGTCTTTGATGGTCTTTGCCAAGGTTTCCTTTCTACGGCAGGGACTTCGGTTATGAGGTTGGCTTTTGGAATTGCTAGTGGGGGCCGACAGATACCGCGTTCTGGACAGGTGGACTACATGCTTGAACTGGGTTTGCAGCCTGGTGATCGTTGTAGTGCCTCCTATCGGCTAGAAGCCAGAGCCACAGCAGGTCTTGTGCCAAATGTGAGTAGGAAAGGAAGGACAAAAGGACAGGCCTCGCGGCCTCAAAACTAAAGCATCTAATAACTTAGTAGTATCTAACCTAACCAAATTCACCATGCGAACCCGAGCCCTTCTGCATCAATCAAGGTGGTTAGTGACTTCCTTGCTACTAGCTTGTCTCTTGCTACTAAGTACCTTAATTCCTCCTACACCGCCTGGTCTTCACGCCTGTGGCCTACCCCAACAACAAAAGAAACATGGGAAATAACAAATAAGAGAAGCATTTTTGTTCCTAGCAAGAATAGGGAGTCCAAGACTGAAGCATGTCCAGTCTTTGTACAAACAAGTGCCACGCTAGTAGTAACAAATTGCTTTTCAGTTTTTCAGTGGTTCGAACAGGTTGAACGGGTTGAAAGACTGACCGACAGACATCTGACGACAGACGTGGTTTGGTGGTTGTTACTTTGCGCCGTTGTGGCCTCGTCCAGGTTTTGCCTCTCACGCATGCTGCTGTTATGGCATGGCGAAGGCAAGACTGACCATTTTGTGTTTTGATCTGACCTAGTGACACTTAGTGGCAGAGGCATGTTGATTTGGTTGAGCTCATGGTCAGGCTCTCCTCCAAACAAGTTGGCGTAGACGAGGCCTGAAGCAAGGTTTGAAAGTGCCTGTATGTAGAGCTGTGTCACATGTAGGAGGCGGTGATTGAGCTGGTGGATGGCAAGCCTGGCTGGAATTGTCAGCGAAAGAGAACAATCTCGACTCAGGAGCATGGCCTTTTCTCGGCTAGGTCAAAGATACTGCAGGCATCCCACGAGGCAACATCCTTCTGCGCATGTCAAGAAGAGCAGTTTCCATACAGTCAGCTAGTGACACGGTGTTCTCGTTATGTCCCTGCAACATCTGAAGTGAACGAGTGAAGGCTGAGAGGAAGGCAACACAAGGCTTCACTCAGTTCAACAATATGCGCACTGCGCACTATATATTATATATTATATTCATGGCAGCGGATTAATGGTGTTGTTTCCAAGGCCAGGATTTTGGTGGCAGCCCTGGTGGGAAGGCCAAAGCCTAACGAGGTGGGACACGTGTGGAGCCGGAGTGTTCCTTTACACTCGTGTTCCTATGTTTCTCTGGAATTGCCCTCAAAGGTACAGTGACTGGCTAGCTTGGCCGGCACTTAACGAGGCCTGAATGAGATGACATTGACGATTATGACTAGTTACGGTACTAGTCGCAGCACGTTCACACACAAGCAGGGTGCGCTCAATACAGCAGGTTCGCATTTGTCGAGCTGTGCCTCAGAGAACGTACTGCCCCAAGAACCACTTTGCAAGTAAGCATTCAAAAGTATCAAAAGTATGTGGCACGCTTTGACAAGGTCCAAGACGGGCGAGATCACTTTCACTGTGAGATAAGCCAAACAAAGGCAATATCACAGTGAATCGCTGAAGAAATGACTCGTGGACAGCTTGACTTGGTTGTTGAGTATGCTTCAACGAAGTAAGATATTGATTTCTGTGGACCATTTCTTTCACATATTTCACTGTATATTTGCGTTTTGTTTGTTTAGCTGCCAAGCAGCTAACATGTCATGCAGACTTTCATTTCTAGCCACATGCAAGAGAATGCAGTGACAATAGCTGTTTGGCCCAGACCACGGAATCTTAATATGGATCCTGAGCCTGTTTCTCAGCAAAGGTTTTTGTTCTCTGGCCCTGTCTCGCCCTGTGGTGGGAGTTCTACGTTCCTGGCTCCAGGTTGCAACGGCCTTTGTTAAAGAGGCGTGGCCAGGCACGACCACAGCCCACCAAGTGCTGCCATGTTTGTCCAAGTGCTTTTGTCCACATGAATCAGGCGCCTGGCCATGAAGGCACACTGTCAGGACAAAGCCAGGCCAGGAGAATATGAAGGAAGTGGAAGTGTGAAACTGCTTGCAGCATGCATTTGCCAGCAATTTTTTGTCCAGTTAGATTGGCGATAGGCGGACTTAGTGAGCCGGCTTGTACAAGACTATTCACTTCAGCCGCCGCAATGACCTCAGACTCACCAGGAAGCCACAACGTTTGACGAGGAAAACCCTGGAAGGATGACGGAAGCATCACCCGGAAGCAGAAAAGACATCACCAGACATCGACCAAGAGCCACCGCAGACCAACACCCACAATACAAGACTTCGGTAGTGAAATCTCCAGAGGTATGATAATAGATGATAATAGGTCACGAGGCAGTAAAGCTTTTTCATTGGCCTCAAGTCTATTCTGCACTCCCTTCCACCACTACCCCTACCATGCATATGGGGCATGTTTTGTGCGAGGCCTCGATGCTTGCAGTGCCTGGAGGTGTGGCCTTGCTTTGGAAGGGGAAACCAAAAGGAGAAGGCGAAGGAAGAGCTATAGAGAGCCAAATACTGCTTTGTCTGACCAGACCAGTGGATACCTCTTGCAGATTGCGCTGGGAATCTTGAGAATCCTTGTTCGAACCTCATTCATGGAGTGCTATGCACTTGTTACTAGTAGCGATGCACTTGTTTCTAATAGCTTCTTGTTACTACTAGTAAGGCACCTGTTACTAGTAGCGTGGCACTTGTTCGGAGTGCTATGTTCGGACCCCCGAGAATCCCAGCATCCAAGGCTCCGATTGTGATATGGTCATTTACTGCATTGTGCCCCTTTTGGCTTGGGATTGCTTCAGTTGTGCACATAAGTGAAAGCATTCTGTATTTTTTCGGAGGTACTACCTTTACAAGATCATCCCAAAGCAAGAGCTGCTGGTGATCTATGGGTCTGGAACTTGATCAAAAAGAGCATGAACGCCCTTGAGGTGTCGATTTCGCCCTTGAGGTGTGCACTCTGCTTCTTTGGTGGTGAGCTGGGGCCCGAATCCTCCAGACAAGCACGGACAGGAGTTGAGCTTTCATATGGATAGGTTTCTTTCACACCTTTTGTTTGTCATGGAATTTCAAAGTCAAGTTCGACATCGTTCGACCAGGTTTTGTGCATCCATTGCAGCTGTTGAGTGCTTTCGCCGAACTGGGGGTGACAAGCTGCTGTTGTGCCTGCAGGACTTGAGGACGATTTGACGTCGAACTGAATCGAAAATGAAGTTTGCAGGACTTGGCGACCAACATCCAAATAGCAAATCAGGCGTCCATCGAGGATGACAAGGACCGAGAATTCTTTGATTAGGAAAGAGCGAGGAACGAGAGAGAGCGAGAGAGAGAGAGAGAGAGAGCGCGAGCAAGAAACAGAATGCAAGACACGGAAGACATGTCGGAAGGTCTAAAGACCACATAGAAATACATGGAATAGAAAAGAGAAGCTGTCTTGCTTGTCTCCAAACTCAGGCTGCTGGCCGCGACCTGGCTCAACTCAGCCCAAAGGAGCGGCGCCGAGTGGCTAGCACACCCCGAGCGGATCCTTTCGTCTCAAGATTCTTCAGTGCCTAGAAGGGTCTTCTGGCAGGATTGGTACCAACATAAGGCCAGATGGAGATGGCGACTCTGTCTTGCAATTCTACTGATTCGGCTGACGCGTTTTGCCAATCAGGCCGGAGTTGTGTTGAAAGCTGTAGACCCTGACACAGTCGTCAAGGCTCGGCGGATTCATTTTCACAGGTTTATTTATGGAGACATTGGTAGACGTTTGTTGCTTGATGTTGCAGGCTTGTGCTGGCCTGTATCAGGGCTTCTTAGGTGCCACTCTTAGAGCTTCAAAGCCCGAGTTGGAGAGGTGAATCACTTGTGAATCGAAGCTTCCGGTTTTTCAGACCTTTGAAGTTAAGTTTTCCTAAAAATCAAAGCAAATCATTAGTACGTGAGCTCTCCTGTGTAGCTTAAGTAGCTAGGCCAGGAGCTTACTCCCTTAATTCAGTAGGGGGGGTCCACTGAATTAAGTAGGAGCGGGCTAAAAAGAGAACACAACAACGACTTTTGAATCACTTAAACATGTCATGTGACTTTCAGGACTGTTGGTGTCCTTGAAATTCAAGTTCGTCGCCTTCTCGGACCTGACAGGATGGTCTGTGCTTCGGAAATGCTCCTGCACAGACCATCCGGCTGTCTCAGGCTTGGACCGTTGCTCTTGCATGCTCCATCGCTGATCTTCTGCGAAAACCAGTGGCGCTTGTGGCGATGAGCTCAGAGACACTAGATGGGAGCTGTTTTCAGGATTGCACGGAACGGCAGAGTTACTTGATGAGCCATACATATTGCTAATCCAGCCGGCAACCACATACCATCAAGCGATACACAATCTCGGACGAATTGGGTTCAGATTTTGGACGATGAAATGCAGTATCAGCTTTGGGTAGTTGCTGCGAGGTGACACCCATTATGGTGGCGTTGATGCCGAAGGTGCAGAGAAGGGAAATAGAGGACGTGTATACATGTTTTCCCCTTTTTTCTTTTTCCTTCCTTGTGGACACTTTTGCAGGGCTATCACAAGTGGATCAATCAAATCATCAACTTGACCTTGAAGGTGGGAAGAAACAGAAGAGCCGAAGCCAATTCTTTTTTTTTGACATCAATTTGTTATATTCATTCCATGTACCAACTCCTGCCTGTACTTAGTCTTCCGTTTGTCCTCTCTTTTTTTGGATTTTGGACGCTGTAGCAGCGACCTCCACGCCATGTGGTCCTGAGGCAATCGCTGTGCACATGGCGTGGAAGCTTCAGGAGGTGATCAGTGCGGTGCAAAGTGGTCTTTTAGGCGTGAGCGCCCAGTGGCGGGAGCTTTTTCGCCGTCCTTAGGAGCTTTTTTTGTGTTCCTTCCCAACAGCTTCTGATCATGATAAAGGTGTAAACTGTTTTTGATGCAAGACAATGTAATATACGGAATGAACTCTGACTCTGAATGCTTTTCAGACTAACCAAGCTGAGGTGCCAGCTTGGTTGGCACCGGAGCCAGCGCCTCAGGAAGTGACTGCCGACTGGCCAAGGAGAGATAATTCAATCTTGCTTTATTAAATGGCTCAATCGTCGCCGAGGTGCTCACGCTCACTTACCAAGGCACAGGGGAGCTAGCACTAAGAAATGGCTTGCTGAACAGACGTGATAAGTGACAAGCCGCGGGAGTTGAGTTTAGGCTTTTCATGGGTATCTGGTGGTCGTTGCTGCAAGCGAAAGCCTTGCTCCCAGCCGCAAAAGTTGAGGGCATGTGCACATGTCTTTGGATATAAGGGTACTGTGAACAAGCAGACACCGTGAACTCTGCCAAGGTTTGATCCAGACAAGAGCTATTTGGATGAGCTTGTTGGGCTGCCCCTTGCAACTTGAATGCATGCTACTTTCGCTGGGACTTCTGCGCGATCCTAGCTGTTTCGTCCGGAGTGTGCCCCGAAGCCGAGGCAGCTTTCGGCATTTGGTTTCAGCTCAAGCATGGTCCTTACTAGTGGCCATCACTTCATATGTGCCAGAGGTCCGACAGATGCATCCAAGGCATAACTTCAGCCTCCCCTTTCCATACAACTTGGCTCTGCTGGACACCAAGACAATACTTTTGGTACACTTTCACAGCCTGGCCAAATTCCAGCAGAAGTAGACAGCGGTCAGCAGCACAAAAGCCAAGAAACACCAAGGCTACCCCTCACAATCGTCGAAACAGCCTTCTCCTCAGCCAGCTTTCCGTCTAGCCAAGCCATGCATCTGCCTACAGCCGAGGTTCTTCGCTTCATGATCACATGGTTCCCAGTGGAGGTATGCCCGATGAAACAACATTCACCAGTGAGTGTCCCGACCGACGAGTGTTGTAAAGCGTTTGAATCGATTGATCTACAGGGATTTCCAGGGTCAGGTCTTTGACCTGGGACTTCTACAAATGACTGAATCGGCAGGAGACCGCATTTCCAGCTCACTGAATCATGCTCACCGTTGACTGAAAAGGCTTTTTTAAGATTGTAGATAGTACCGTGCCTATAGGTCGCCATTTGGAAGTTCAGAAGAGCAAGCAGTTGTGATTCAAAGGTCTCACCTTGCACAGCTGCGGCATTTATCGATTTGAGTGAACAAAACGAACGTGGAAGATTGTTTGCTTCGATGGTCCGCACAACGTGTAGAAGTTTGACAGCCACTTTGTACCTAAATCACTGACAAGAGCACCAGGCTTGCTCTTAGTGTTGATGTTATCAGCCTGCCTTTGGACAGCACCAAGAACACCGAAGATGACACAACGAGACATTGCAAACAAAACCGACAAATGCGGTACCTGTACCGCTGCTTGCATGTACAACTAGAGTACTAGAGCCATGCACAAGACATCACCAGACGATGTCACAAGGTCTTCTGTTCTTTTTCATCCGCGTGCTTTCGCTGCGAAGTCCCATGGAGACCCCCGAAGCCCTACTATATCCAGATATATCCAGTGAATCCTTGAGCAAATCTCCTGTACATAGTTTGCCGCTCGACTGATGTCTGAAGTGTACATCAAGGACTAGCACAGGGATGACATGAAAGTTGCGAGAGAATTGGGATGCGTTCAGGAGCCGGCCACGAAGGGCAAAGCAGTTCTGACCACCAGCCATGGTGGGCCCCGGCCATGGTGGGCCCCAGCACTTTTGAGTCGTTCAGTTGTGGGCCACAGGTGATTTGGAGATCGAGCTTTGGGCCACCGAGACTCCGAAAGCAGCGAACTTGATACTCAATGCTCGCTGCGAAATCGAAAGCTGTCAGCGTGTGGCAGTGACACCCACAGTTAGAATATCAATATCACGAAACCCAGCCGATAGGCCAGGCTGGAGTTGTCGATGGGCGAACGAAGTGAGTATTAGGGGGTGCGGGGGGGTGGGCAAGTTCGGAGGGCGAACCCAGAGCCTGGTAAAAACGGCGGGCAGAATGGGATTCAACATGTATGGTTTTTGGGGTGTTGTGATGCAAGTGATGTAATTGACGGCGAAGAGTGCATCATTAGCATCATGAGGGGCTTGGGAGGCAATGTCAACCGTTTTCTACCAGGAGTGGGAGCCTCCAGGAAAGGGAGATGTGCGTCTCGGGTGAAAGGAAGGTGCCATCTCTCAACACACTGTTGGGGAAGGGTGGTGAAGCGGCATGGTAGCCAGGCGCAAAAGGGCACCCCATATGGGGTGGGAGTTCATGTGGGAGACAGGCATAGCGAGTTTCTTGGGGGGTGCCCTTTTTTACGGTGAAGACGCCCGTTAACCACACGGAAAAGGGCACATGTGGGGTGCGAGTTCATGTGGAGGATAGGCATAACGCGGGGGGCACTCCTATATCTTTTGCTTCCTATTGCCCCATCACAGGCCGCTCTTTGCCCGATGTGACACGCTCACTTGATCTTGGCTCTAACTGACGTCGAGGTGCCCCTTTCTCTCTTCCAAACGCTCCACAAGAACAAAAGCACCCCGCCCCCCCACCTGTGACTGAAGGCCCATCATGTTGGCCCCGCCTTGTGCTTCCCAAAGCTTCCCTTGCGCTTTTCGCACTCGCCCCTGCTGACAAATTCAAATCTCCGGAGGCTGGCTTTCGTCCCCTCCCCTTCTCAGGTATATATATATATATATCAAGGCTATCAGTTAAAATATCAGCTTGCAACTATGTTTCGGACTTGCGCTGGAAGAACTGTGGCTTGTCATTCCAGACCAAACTGTCCTCTGATGCGTCTCTTCGTGCAGGCTTGTAGAAACTTCTGCCAGCTCATTTTAGAGGGGTGTGCCCCTGAGTGGCAAACTTTATCCGTTCGTGCTTTGACGTGCTGTGACAGGTACTACAATGGCACAACCTTCCATAGGGTGATCAAAGACTTTCTGATCCAGGGAGGGGATGTCATGCCATCCTGATTGGGGTTAACCCTCCCTGGTTCAGCCGGTGCGCAGCACGGCCGTGTGGTTTCGGCTACGCCAGGCGACAGGAACTGGTGATGGCTGTGAATCCATCTATGGCGGCCCATACCCTGATGAGATTCATCCGAGATTGAAGTTCAGGCCTTTGAACTATTTTGAGCTCGCATGCCTGTTGATTTTCTCAGCATCTCTCAGTTCACTTGAGCTATTACAGCTTGTAGGTATCGCGGCATGATGGGTGTGGCCAGTGCTGGTCGTGGCACCAAGACCAACGGTGCGGCTTTGGATAAACAGAGACTGATGCAGTGCAATTCCATGCAAAATGGGAGGCAGCCAGTTCTTCATTGCCATGGGGCGGCTCCCTTCCTTAGATGGCAAGCATACGCTCTTTGGCAAGGCCCACCGGTGCAGAGTCGCCTTGTGGCACATTAAAAATCATCCACCAGGTCGTAGGTCAGACGATCTACAACCTTGTGCGCCTCAACGAAGTAGAGGCCAAGAGGATCTAAACGTGGCAACATGGCAACACCTCTCTTCTTGAAGACAGTGCATCAAGCATTTAGAATCTAGATTTTTGTCAGGTGGATAAGCATGATGTTCCGGCCGATCCGCCAAGGAGAAGAGGGTCGGATGCAACTTAATATAACTTAAGCAGCTAGACGGCTGCCTAAACTCTGAATAAGAGAGTGGATCGATCGACCAAGTAGCAATTTGACAGAGTGGCAGGATAATCCGTGCCGAGCTTGTGTGGGATCCTTTTGGTGATTTGGAGCCGCTTCGTACTGAGCCTCTCTCGCTTTTGGGATCCATGGAACACTATATTTGCAACGGGACGGCTACTCCAAAGTAGTGCTCCAAACTAAGGCGCTACAAAGTGTCAGTTCCAAAGCAGGTGAAAGAAAAGGACGAGCATAGGCTGCATAGCCGGTCGGACGGTATAGCTGAGTCAAAGCACTGAAGATCCACATCTACGCCTTGCGCTGCAGACGTGCTCCTGTGCACAAGAAGAACGTTCTGTCCTTTGCCGCCCCTTGGCAGACTTTCTGCATATATTATGGATGATATGTGTGCATCCACTGGTCAAAAGGAACAGCTGAAGCTTCATTTCCATCCAATGCTTGGTCTGTGGTGAATATGGAGTGACTTGCCAAGGGTGCTGGCAGTGATGAAGAGGAAGACGACGAAGGCAAGTTTGAAGTTGTGCCCTGCAGTAGTGAAATGTAAGCCTCTGTCCCCAGAAAGGCGGTTTGAAAGTCAAAAGTGCGTGCTGGGCCAAGCATGATGGCATTTCATGTACCACTTCGTGTTTCATATTTTTTCTGCGCCGTATAGGTTTGAACGTGTTTGCCATGGTCCGTCTAGGTTCTAGGTTCCAGAGTTTGTGGAGCCAACGTCTGAGGCATGACGTCCTCAATGATCCAAGACTCTCAAAGGACGTGGCATATCCCGAAGAGGTGCGAGGACGTCTCTGGTGGTGCAGGTGCCGGCGGGGTCGACACGATGCTCTCAGGTCGCAGAGAAAAAGAAGCTTCGCGAGGGCTTCTTGGCACCGGTAAGTCGGCGAAGCAAACCGGTAAGTCCAGCGGTCGAGTCAAGGCAAACGTCCGGCGGAGGAGACAAAGGAGAGGGGCGATGCCAAGAGGCAAGAGTCTTGCTCAATCCACACGTCGAAGAAACCATCTTTCCTCCAGTCCAACCTTGTTGACCTTGCTATGCAAAGCTTGCTAGCTCATGATTTGCAAGTTGGCTCAGGCCCACACCTGTCCAGAGGGAGTCTCAAGGCAATTGGTTTGGAACCCTCCGCCAGCAGTTTTGGCAGTGAACAAATTTTGAGGCAAAGCGAAGGCCAAAGAGGTAGAGGAAGAGGAGGAGGAGGACCAACCTTTTCCCTTTCCTCAACAATTGCCATATGTTAAAAAACAACAAAAATAAATTATATAGTAATTTTCCAGAACTGGAATCGGTTTGGCTTGACTTCGTTTTGCAGGATGACAGTGAGCCCGATTTTGGTGGCTCAGATTCTGATGCTCCAAAGGTACACAGTGCAAAGCTGTTGCTAAGAGACATAGCCTTGTGAATCTATCTTCCCAGGGCACTGCGTCAAAGCCGGTGAAGAAAGACAAAGAAGCTTTGAGACAGGAGGCCCAACATTGCTTTCAAGGATTATTTCAGTGCTGGGCATCGTTCTGCCAGACTATCCTGAAACTGAAGCGAGATATTGCCAATGCCTTAGTGCCTTTGGTGGGCTCGAGGAATCTTCTGTGAAGGGGCCATGGAGATTGAGGTTGAGTTGAAATGACCTTGGTTTGTATGCCTTTCAAGACATCTTTCATATTGGCATGATTTCTAGGCAATCACACAAGTCATTCAGTCATCCAGGAATCCATCAATACATCTGAGGTTGGCTTGGCCAATGGGCTGCCGACAGAAGCGCCATCTAGGAAGAAGTCAGGCTATGTGACTGTGTTGTATTTGACCTTAGGACAGAATCGACGAATGGGTGCATTCTTGCATCTATTTTTTCGCAGCAAGAGGTTTCCAGTTTTCAGTCAAGTCAGCATGGGGTAGCTAAGCCAGCTAAGCTGCTTGGACGTGCTGACGCTCTGCTTGGAGGCTCTGCCTTGGAGGTGACGCTTTGCTTTACTCGAGCTCTTCAGAGAATGCAAGGATGTTAAGTTTCCCTAAACGCGCGCGAAAAAAAGCTCCTACTACCTCTACGGCCTACCCCCCGAATTAAAAAAGATTGCATATATTATACAGAGATAGATAGATGTAAGAATGCTTCTGAGAAGACAAGATTGTCAGGCGATGCGAAGAGGTTTCAAGACGCGTGCTGAAACCCGGCCGGAAGTGAAGGGCAAAGAAGCGAGGAGGCTTCAGGCAGAGGTGGAGGGCTTTGATTTCACGAATGCAGTGCTGTTGAGCAGTGGCATTGCAATCGTTTGGTAGTGTGTTGGCGTTTGTTCCGTTTTATTTCATAGTTAGTCACCAGTGGCTTTTGTTTCAGGCCTTGTTGGAGGGTTTGAAAGGCTGGCAGGACTGCGACTGAATTCGAGACTTGAAAAAGACACGACAGCTTTGCCTCTCGTCCACCACGACTCTCGCTCTTTGCCTTGCTGACTCGGTATCGCTTCTTAGGATCGCTTGCGCACTCTCATGCCCGATGAGCCGGAAGAGGGGGAGGAGGACAAAAAAGAGGCGCGAGATGGCTGTGAGGGGGGGTAAACCGGAGTCGGCCAAGTAGAAAAGTAGTAGTTAGTAAGAAGCTGCCACATGCAAGGATGCAGATCGCTGTGTCCTAGATTGAGGGAAGTCTGACAAAACACATGAAGAACACTTGTTCTGCGTTTCAGGAAGAGCCTGCTACCTTAGCATCGTACTGGGAAGAGGCTGATGAAGAGGCCGACAAGGCAGGCTGACGACAAAGCCCTTTGGAACTCCAATGAATCAGGCAGGAAGGTTTTGCGTAAGGATGTGTTGCTCCACACGGCATTGTAAGGATGCTGGCCACATAAGAGCTACCTCTGCAGTGACCCAGTGCATGTGTCCCAGTAAGCAAAGCGCAGGAAAAGGTAGCCTTGCGTACTACAAACAGGGACTTCTTCCGGAAATACAGTAAAAGTGGAGACAGTGTTGAAGAATTGAACTGTCATCCTACAAGTCCAATTGGTATGAAGTGCAAAAGATGCACGACAGCGGTCGCCACGAACATTTTGCCTCCAAAGTCTGTAAGAATCTTGAATCCGCAACTTTTACTTGGGCAGCACCCAAGCTTGACAGCACACAAAGCAAAATCGAGAAGCAACATCAGACAAACAACATTTCCACAAGCCTTCCTTAACCCAGCATTGTTTGACCACACATCGTCGCTTGCTCATGAGCCAGGACTGGCTGGGTGGTGCAGGGCTTAAGTTCCACACATCTGGCGACAAGGCTCAAGTGCTTCACAGTTTCCCACGGTGTTCCACAGCAAACCTGGATTCTGTTCTGAAAAGCATTGAAGGCCTTCCAGATTGCTGCCGCTAAAAAGGCCTTGGATGGCTGGACATTGGTTGGAAGGGCGTGAGTTAACAGAATGTTCTTCGTTCAGGAAGACGACTTATAGGGACTCAGAGTATACGTTCATTTTGTTGTATGTATCCTCTTTTCTAATGATTAACTTTCACCTGACCCGTGGCCTTTTGTGTGGAACCTTGAATAAGGCCCGCGATTCACTGGAGATCTTTGATCCAATCGCTGCAACGGGCAATTCAGAGGCTGAACTGTTCTGATTTCTTCTGGACATGCTGCAGACACATGTGAGAAGCATTGCACTGGATGTCAATAGAGCTTTCATGCTGTCAGGCTTTGGCCGCAGCGCGCAAGCGGCGCAATGACAAGATTGTGTGTGACACCCGTGACACCCATTGAGATGCTTTCAAGACCTGCATGTTTGTAGATTTTGTACTTGGGCCCGGGCCAAGGCCTTCCATGCGCCGACAGAACCCCCTTGCGGAGTGGTAGCTCGACATGGAGCGACACAGTTTGCGGTCCCAGCCGCCTGCCAGTTCAGTGGAAAAGAGGGAACAGCTCAACGCCATGCATGTTGTTTGCTTAGATCTAAGTTTCCAAGCCATGACCCACTGATGATTACAAGTTACCTAGATGTTACCAGTTTTCAGCCCAAAACCTGCCTCTCGGAAGGCCGCTTGCAATTTGCAAAGAACATGTTCCCTGAATTGACAAGCTTTTGGCAGTTTGTGAACACATTGATTCCCGTGGCTCGTTTTGCTCCAGCCGCCCGAGCGGCTCAATCAGTTCGTTCACTGGCGCGCCCCTGTCCTGGTGCCTTGGTACTTTGAGATTTCCTTCTATTTTTCATTTTCTATTCTATATTATGTATATATAGTTATATATGTAGAATAATACAACACGCAAAAGCCGTGACAAGCAAGATATCAGGCCTCAATAAAGTGGCAAGGAGTAGAGATAGAGTCGAGTCTGTGTAGAGGCCCAAATTCTGATCACTTGCTTACATGCCCGGGTAAGGCGCAGCCGTTGCCGCAGTAGTTGGGGTGTTGGAACCCTTCAACGTGGCACAGGAGTTTTCCTGAAATTCTTGAAAGTTGCTACAGGATAGTTTTGGTGATTCTCTCACAGGACCTGGGAGCGAACTCTTTCAGCCGTCAAAGCGTTCTCCGCCCACCGTGCTTTGCTCAGCAATCAGCAAGACATGACCGCCCTATGTCTAGCTGATGGCCCGATGTCGAGGTGCTTCCATCCTACTACTCGCTCCTTGGTGATTCATATTGATTTGTGTGGTCAATCCTTTGAGATTGATGTGTCTTGCGAGGTGCAAGACAATGGAGCTGACATCCGCTTTGATTTGGACATTACGAATTGCCCCTCCCCTAGCATCCACAGTGTCCACAATGAAGCAGATTCTCTAGATTACTAGATACACTCCAGTGGGTTGACTTAGGTACTACCGATTATTCTATCTTGCATTTTCTTCAAATGGCAGTCGTCAAAAGAAGATCAAACGTCTGACCCTGAGTTCAATCAACCAAGAAAGGAGCAAAGGATACCAAAGCCTTGAACAGGTTTGTCGAAAGTTCCACGAGCAGCAAGAATAAGTACAGCCGCGGCAACTTGGCAGTTGTTAGTGTGGTGCCTAGCTAATTGATTCCACTTTGAACTCAGGAAAGCTCATGGCGTACCGCCAGGTTGGAATATTTGGGGATCACTTTGGCTACTGAATCCTGTGTTTGTCAGGCCGTCGATTCAACCGCAGTGCCAAAAGAGCTGGCTTCCATATCGCTCAAGAGTCAAAGTGAGGCCGGCCAGTCAACAAGCGGTGGCATTGAAGTACCATTGGGTTGTTGAACCTAACCTTTCGCTCTGCTGAATGTGAGGCTCCTCAACTTTTTGGAGGGGCTGAGAAGGGCAGGGGCAAAGGTTCGATACTGAGATTAGCAGCTGGCATCCTGAGTGCTTTGAAAGCTGGCAGCGGCACGTTGATGTGTTTGACATCATGAGGAAAGAGAAGCCGCGAAACAAAGGAGAAAGAGGCGTTGCCGAAAGCTTTTGTCCAGCTGTTCTGTGCTTCCACATTTCGTTTACTGATGAACTATCTCACATTCCCTGTTCCTTGTTTTGCAACTGTCATGGTGCTTGTTCTTTGCAGGAGAGAACTGGCGGCAAAGATCAAAGGCGCACAGTCCCAGGAAATTGGATCGCACTCTTTGATCGGCGCTCCCCTTCAGGCGATCAGCTCGTGATGCCGATAGACCGAGAAGGCACGGAGCTTTCACCAGTTGGTGAGTCGATTTCTGCGGAGCGCAGTCCTTGGAGCTTTGCCCGTTTTCCTGGTCTGGTCCAGGAAGGACAAGGTCACCGATGAGGCTGAGGCGCCACCGTCCCGCAAGGGCCAAGGTTTCAGGTGACATCGAAGAAAACCTGCGGTCATTCTAGGTCACCATGACCATGGGTCACCATTGGTCATCAGTTGCAAAAGCACAAAGTAACAGAAAGTAGCAGCTTGGAGAATCCAAAGCTCAGTTTTCCTAAACGTCTAGGAACCAAATCATTAGTGCGAGCGCTTCTTCAAGGAAGCGTGAGCTATCCTGCGTTCTAGCTAGGAGCGAACAAGCTTGTCCCTTACTAAATTAAGTAGGCGCCTACTTAATTAAGTAAGGAGGCAGGGGCCACGGGCTGAAAATAGAAACAATCAACTTTGCTCATTTGAAGCTCGCTGGACTCCATATGACTCGTGTGACTGGCCAAGGTGATGGCCGATGGTCCCTCGGCGCAGGGTGCTGTGCAATTGAAAGAATCTGAGGCAAGGACTCAGTGGGACACACAGGTGCACAAGGAAAGCCTTTTATACATTTGTTCGCAGGAAAAGATGAACCTGGAATCCTTCCTCAACTATGTGGCTTTTAACAAGAAGGCTGGACCCAACACAGCCTCGTGAGCCCTCCCTCGATTGATTTCCCTGTTCAGGCCCAAGTGCAAGTTCTAGACCTCTCGGAAGCCAATGCCGAAAAAGCCAATGCAGAGGCACCCTGCGAACATTGTTCTTCTTTAGCATCTAGAATCTAGGTATAATATACATATATACTGTAATTTCATGCAATCACAATCAATCACATATATACACTTGTATATACAAAGTAATCAGGAATCGCTTGGGCATTATTGGCACCCGTCGCAGGCGCAGATGGTCTTGCGGGGAGCCTTGAACTTCAAGCGCGTGGATGTCGCAAAGGCAGGGCTAGCTCGAGCTACTCTTACTTTCGCAAGATTCAAGACTTCAATTTCGGAAAGCAAGTCGAAGGCGTTGAGATTCCGCTGCTGAAGTTTTCAGGCTGCCTTACCCCCATAGGTTGAACTCCCCCACATGAAAGCGATGTCAGCAACTCACCTGGCCTCGTCCCAGCTTGGCTTAGCAATTGCCAAAACCAGCAACGACCAGTTTAGTAAAGAGTGGTCATGGGAGATGGAAAGTGAAAGTTGGATGACACCTCGAAAAGCCATAGGCCCTCCTTCCTCACAAGCGATAGCTCTTGTATGCTGTTGTTGATTCATGTCCTTTTTGTTTCCCAGTCGTTTTTTTGGCAGACGCTCAACTGCGTTTCGATAGAAGACTGTAGGTCAACGAAGCCGCCACGCAACCATAGCAAATGCTCGCAAATGCTCCTGAAGCCAGGAACTCTACGAGCAGTTGGCTGCTGCCAATGTCGATATTTTCTCAGCAACTTTTTCATTGATGATCGAGGTGACGGTTCTGCACGCTTTGTACGCTAGGCTTTTAAGGGTCTGAATACGACGAGTTTGTTGATAGTAGATAGGAGCAGTCGTTGTCAGGCTAGTGTGCTGGCGAAGGATTTGAAGACCTCTAGCGACTTCCTGATGAAGCACGGGGACCTAGTTTTGCGAGCTTGCTTGCTGTCTGAATATGTATCAGCCCAAGGCCTTGAGTTTGAACACACATCTGGTAAAGTCTTGTAGTACGGATTGAGCTACTGTAGTGAGAATGCATGGAGGAAAGTCAAGCAACATGAACCATAACCCATGCCTTCCCTCTCTGATGCCAGGATGGAATCTTCTGGTCACAGTCCAAGCAGTGAACTATTGGACAAGGCCCGCTTCTTTTGCCAAAGGGGCAGGAATATTTTCCTACTAGACAATTTCTGCATGCCTTTGGTCGCTGCACCGAAGAGAAATGATTCGCTTGACACGCATGAAGAAAACGAGGGCTTGTTCAGCTTCGGAAGATTGCTTGGTCAACTAACTTGACTGGAGTCTTTGGAAAGCAATGGCAGCCTTGCAGGTGTTGGACCTCTACTCCAACCAGAAGACCCAGCGGGAGCAGGTGAAGAACAAATCATCCAACAAGGCTGCAGTTTTTGGACACAAAGTCATCCAAAGAGGGAATGACCCAAACGGCTCTTCAGCAAGTCGATTGCCGGGCTGCTGAGGAGGATGAGATCATTAGTGGCGCGACAGAGAAGGAGGCGGGCCAACTGCGGAGCATGCGGAGCATGCGGAGCTTGAGACCTGGACGCCCTGAGTTTTTCCTGTCCAGGTGATCCTTCCAAGACAGAAACTGAAATCAGTGCAAGTCTTAAAGTGTTGACCAGAGCGGCAGGGACCCTTGGGTGGCCGTGCCACCGCACAGACATGTGGAACAACCGAGAAGTGTAGAACTTGCACATGAAACGAACCCCGCAACGCCATTCTATGGCTACGACCCCCCCAATGTGCTGGTCCTCTGAGCACTTTCTGAAAGTACTTGACTTGACTATTTCATGTGTACTTAGTAGTATTTGCAAGAGCTTTGGGAAGCACTTGTGTTGACTCAGGACGCTCGGATTTTTGTGCCCAGCTTCGGCATCCCACCACCTCCTCCAAAGCCAAAGCGTGAAGAGAGTCCGGTCGAGGCAGACTTTGAGGACCTCAAAGGAGCAATTCTTTTTTAGAGGTGTTTTTGCTGAAGGCTGAACACATTTTGGGCTAGGATTACAAGAGAACTATGACTGGCATTTGTTGGAGAGAGAATGGCTTGGAGAGAGTGTGCAGAGAGCGATGAGGCTGATTCGCAGCGGACAAAGCTAATGGCCACTGCCAAACCTTTTGAACCGCCAATGCCTCAAATTTCTGAAGGTCGTGCACTTTCATTTGCACTACTTGTCAGGGGCACGTGGATGCTAGATGCTGGCAGCCTAGTCCAACTTCGGCTGAAGACATCGAGATCATTGTGATTTCAAGGTTCCGCAGGAGGACTTCATGACAGGGCAAGAGGTGTGGACATTTAATCTAGCATGAAATCGGACTCAACGTTTCGATGCCTAGCTTCCACTCAGTGCAGTGAACCAGCAGTGACATCCACAAGACTTAACGAAGTTGTGGGCTTTCAATTCGTGTGCAGATCAGCAGCTAGAAAACATACAAGGATTGGCATGCATTGTTGATCGTGAGGTGTATGAAGGAGGAAAACAAACTTATCCAAGAAACGTGTGACCCTCAGCTATAAAGTGCCGTTCATTTGTACTAAGTTACTACTTGAATGCTCAGGGCAAAAAAGAAGAAGCAAAAAAGATGCAGCACACTTACAGCACGTGCATCAGGACAGATCTGTAGCTCTCCTCCTCGAACCATGGAATGTAGGTGCAATGTCTTGGCTCTTGCTGGCGTGTCTGAGGTGGAAGCCCAAGGCTCCAGCATGTGCCCCAATGGATTGATTTGGGAAGACAGCTGCTTCTTGGGCGTTGGCATAGTTCTTTTAGCAAGGCCAAGGCTTCCATTGTACCTTTTAAGTGCATTTCAAAGATGTGCGGCTAGCGTTTCACTCGCCTCTTTGCACCCAGACCCCAAGTCCATTCCAAGAGAGGACAGCTTGCTTGGGAAATGTCTGGCTACGCAGAAGAAACACACCCATGGAATAGTGCTGAATCCAAATTCAACCAATAAATGTAACATACGATCAACGATAATTTGATATCCCAATCATAGGAAATTTGGTGAAGAAGCTTCCCGAAAGTAAGTGCATCATCAAAAGCTGCCTCATCATGCATCGGACACCTGCACAAAGGCTTTGGGTTGGGAAAGGTACCTCTGACGGTAGCATGGTTAGGGGATGGTTGGGGACGGGTGCAGTATGCTTTGCGTGTGGTGTGCTCGTCGCAGGTGTTTGGCTGTGCTATGCTGACTTCAGCGGGACTTGAACTAGATTGGAGGTTAAGAGCGCATTTGACATGGGAGTTTACTGTTGGGGTTCTCTCACTGGCCAGCCCTTTTTTGTCATCGTGGTGTCCTCCACCGCGCTGGCGAACCCTGTGTCCCCCAGGCATCTTTCTCTTGTTTTCCTGGTGTCTTCCTGCTGTCGTCTGGCCGCGCTGGCGAACCTTGTGCCTTCTTGTGTGTCCTTGTGCTGTACTCTGGCATTGTGTCCTTCGTGGTGTCCTCCTGCTTTCCTTTGGCCGCGCTTGCAAACCCTGTGTCCTTTTCTTGTCTTCGTTGTGTCCGCCTGCTGTCCTCAAGAGTTAACAGGGCTGGCCACGATGGCCGTGGCCGCGGCCCTTTGATCCCTACCACGCTTTTTTCATCCACTTTGGTTCAACTCCTCCGTGGAGGTTTTGGGATACGATGCAACAGATTCAACAGATTCATAAGCAAAGGTTGGCTGTGTCCCTTTAACAACCCCATGCCTATGAAAAAAGATTTGCCTCACTCCGCCACTGGACGGCGTTGTATGCTTCGCCTCTATTGATACGGATATATTCCTGCCAATTTTCGTCCCCTACCCTCGGTCTCAAATTTAATATCATCTTCAAATTAATATTGGAAATTAAAAAAACAAAATACAAAGATGCGGCAATCACTCCTGAGTGATTAAGTTTTATTCGAGTAGCAAATGAAAATGCTGTTCATTTTCAAGCTTGCAACTTTCGGCTTCAGTGGGTGGGTTGAGGCGGGCGCGCCTTCTTCTTTTGAGTTCGGATGCCATGGGGATTGGAGAATGAAAGAGAAAATAAATAAATCACAACTGTAGGCTTCTCGAGCTCTTGAATACTTCCTGAATCCGGGGTGACCCAATTTTTGAAAAACAACAGAAGCTGAAATAATTCTGAGGAAGAACAGCCCCAGGGCATTCAGAAGGCGATGTTTCTGTGAGACGTTGTTGTCCGCAAGTGCTGACTCTTCAAAGTTGAACACATGGAGCAAGAGTCTGAACCTCCTGATGTTGCGGGTGCAGCTGCAGACTCCTCGACTGTGCCTGCGCCCGAACAAGAGCTGGACGACTCTTTTCCGCACACTGGTGCTAACGCCAGTACAGCAGGTTGGCGAAAACGCTGGTCTGACGCAAGCAAGTCCAAGGCATGCAGAGTAGAGACAAGCCCTGAAGAAGATAGTGAGGTCGATTTTTTCGGTGGTATTGGATCAGCAGAGCCTGGTGACGGATTGCACAGTGACAAGTTTTTGCAGATTGTTGAGAATTTCGGCAAGTCGCATTCTGGCATTTGGCCTCACGCAAGAGAAGTCCAAAATTTAGGTCATGCTTCTGCCGATGAAGGGGCCTCTGCCCACCAATTAGTGACATTCCAATCCACATGAAGGCGAAAGAACCGCCGCCTTGCATCTTCATGAAGGTTGTTCGAAAGGGTGATTCTGTTGCGTACGAAGAAGACAGGTCCAACAAACGACTGCAAGCGATACAGTCCTGGTGGGAGTTGTTAGGAACTGACCTGGAGGCAAGCACTGTAGGCAGACAGGTTATTGCAGAAGCGCCCCATGCTAGTGTTGCTGCGTTTGCAAGAGAATTGTTGGACGCAACCTTCGCACTAAAAAGTCCAGGGACCCTGCTGAAGAGGCTAGGCTCAGTAAGAGGCTATGTGCAGTGGTGCAAAGAGAGTGGCCAGGGCAACTGGCTGCCATTAGTAGAAAGGACTGCGTGGGAATATGTCCGGCGCCTGCGTGAAACAGGTGCGCCGGCAACTCGAGCTTAGATTCCTCTGGTTCATACTAGGCGTCAATGGTGCAGACGTGGTGGAACGTTCGCCACGCATCAGAGGCTTGAGCTCTGTGCTCAAGTCAAAGAAAGCGCCTTGGAGGCCCGCTGACCTTTTGACAGTAGCAGAAGTTGAAAAGTTCCACGCGATCCTGCACGATGAGAGCAAGCCCCTAGGAGACAGGATAATTTCGGGTCATCTCCTGCATTTGCTCTACAGCAGGGCTAGATGGTCAGACATGCTCGCTGTGATGAACTGGCACATTGATTGCTTGGAAAAATATTTGCAGGTGGATATCAAAATTCACAAGGGTTCGCGAAATGCTGATACCAAAAGCAAGCTGTTGCCAATAGTGGCTCCCTGCACTGGTGTAGTTCACGCCAATTGGGCGACGAAATATGCCGAGCTGCGGAGAGCTGCCGGCTTGTCGATGCCTGCTGACAGATCGCAAGCCCTGCTGCCTGCCCCCATGAGCGAGCATGCGACCTGCTGGACGTCTAGGCACATGGAATCCAGCGAGGGTTCGAGGTTCATGCGTGAGCTCTTAGGTGCGCCCAGAACTGCTGATAGGAGAGTGTCCACTCACTCGCTGAAGTCAACAGCCATTTCCTGGGCGTCAAAGTACGGCCTTACAGAGTACTCAAGGTTCGTGCTTGCAAGGCACACTGCGACTGTTTCGACCGCCACTGCTGTCTACTCACGAGAACTGTTGTCGCCGGTGCTGCGCGAGTTCGACACAGTCCTTGAAGGGATTCGCAGCGGTGCACGCAAGCCGGCTTGTGACGAAGCAGCAAAGGAAGAGCAGGAGGTGTGCCAATGGTCTGATGCACACTTTAGGCCTTCACCGGTTTGCATCGACCTAGAAGAAAGTGCTTCTGAGACCACTGAGTCGGATAGTGAGCAGAGCACGTCAAGCAGTGACTCTATCACGGAAGCGGAAGGAGAGATGCACGTGTCGATTTTCGAGCATCCTGTCCAGACATGGTACACCAATAGGTCGTCGTTAGTGGTGCACAGGCTTCGTGAGGGATAGACCTTTCGGTGCGGCAGAAAGGTGACGGATAGTTACGACAAAGTTACTTCTTCGCATGGCATAAGATGCAGCCGATGTTTTGACACATAGGCGAGGAAAAAAAAACAACAAACAGATGCACACACTGTGCAGAACGGGACTGACTTGTGTTCAGCAATTTGTGGTTTTCCTTTTTGTTGGGCAGCCACGCTTGTGGTCGGGTCGGTGAATTTTTTTTGGTACCGACTAAGAGTCACATGCCGCTGCAGTGCTGCAGTTGTGCACTTTTGTCTTTTGAAGAGATTCTTTTTTTTGGTTTTTATCTTGTTTTGTTGAAGTTGGGCTGGGTTGACCCCAGTTTATTGTTTTATTTGCTGCTTGTTGCAGCCGCTGACGCTATGTGTGTCAGTGATGGCGGTGACTTTGAGGGTCGACCGAGAATATGAGGCTCAAGGCGTGCGTCAACGCACAAATAGTGATGCGCACGTGAACAGTGCGAGGGCTAGGTTTTACGTTGTTTTGGACGGGTGCTTGAGCTTTTTCTTGTTTGCTTTTCTTGATTTTCCTTTTGAGGTTTGTTGTTTAAGTTTTAACGGTGACTATTGACTTTCTCGTTTATCTCGGATTGGGCTCGACGCATGGCGAGCTTTGCAAACAGCCGCGCGTACTTTGAAGCACGTGCGCACGAGTACGGCGTTCCTGCTGAGTTGTTGACGCATCTCCAGAACCAAGGCATTAACGCGTTAGGTTAGCTGGCCTTTGCCTTCACTCGGCCAGGACAAGAGTTCGATGAGGGCCGCTTTGACACATGGCTTAGAAGTGTGAATGCCGGAGTGGCTCCATCTATAGGTGCCACAGCCTCGGTTCGCAGACTTCATTTTGAGGCTGAAGTGATAGTGATAGCTTCGCTGAAGGCGGCCGTGGAGGCACCCACCTCCGAGTCTGTAACGCCCAAGGCCATTCCCTTCGCCGAACGCTCTGCGCGCCTAGCGCACATTCGGGCCAAGCTCCCTGGATTGCACCTGGAGGGTCCCGGAGAGCCGTCTCAAACTTTGCTCGACGAGGTTTGCCATTAGTTTGAGACACGAGCACTAAAGTATATCGAACCTCAGAAATCCACCAGTCACTAGCAGAGAAATGGAGGTTGTGGCCACTAAGGTGGACAAGAGGTTGCGCCTTGATTCAAACACACTCTCGATGAAAGAGTCTAAGGTATGTGCAAAAGCTCTTCAAACATTTGAGCCTCGAGGCCCCTCCGAATTTTGCACTAACCACTTTGACGCAGTTGGTTCGCGCTGATAGGCAGGTCTTTGGGTTTATGTCACAAGACACACCTGACATCCGGCCACAGCCTGGGGGGATTCGGCCTCTAGACGCGGCGCTTGAGAAGGCCCTGAATGATTACCACACAGCCTTTTGTTTGATGCTAATGCTAAAAGAGCACGCTTCGCCTTTCCAACCTTGGCGGCAGAAGACAGGTGAACAGTGGCAATAGCCTGATTGGTTTCAGAAGCAGCCGAAAGGCAAAGGCAAAGGCAAAGGCAAAGGAAAGCACAAATCGCTAGGGTTAACTGCTGCACCCAAGGGCATGGAGGGCTGCGTCGGACGTGATCCCAAAGGGCGCCCACTGTGTTTCAATTTCAACATCAGCGCCTGCCCACATGCTCCTGCCGGCGGTTCCTGTCAAAAGGGAAGGCGTGTTTGCTTCAAAGCCGGTTGTCACAAGCCGCACGCGTACAACGACGTGCATAGATCTGAAGAGAAGCCAAAGGAGTGACTAGCCAATTACGTTGGTGCTCATGATTTTTTTCCCCGCGAAGTCGTTGTGCTTGAACTTTTCTGTGCGCTTGAATTTTTCTGTGGCACGGCAGGTTTGACTGCCTGCTTCAAAAGACGTTTTTCCAACAGCCTTGCCATTGACAAAGTTCGAGCCAAATTCACGCACGCCAGTATTTTGCAACTAGATGTCACCGATTTTTCCGTTCAGCAGACGATCTTTGCCTGGATCCGTAAGCCTGAAGTGAAAGCTGTTTTTCTCGCTCCGCCTTTCAGCACTGCCAGTCCTGCAGGCTCCGATGTCTCCAAGCCACTCCGGTCCATTGAGTTGCCCGACGGCTTGCCGGGTTTGCCGCCCAGCGATGTCATTCGCGTGGCGCAGGCGAATGTGTGCTACCAATTCACTGCTGATTGCATGGACCTATGCACTGCGCTGGGCAAACCCTGCATGGTTGAGCATCCCAAGTTTAGTTTTTTGTGGTTTGTTACTGCTTGGGTTGAAGCTGAGAGCATTTGCGATATTTACTACCAGTCTCACCAGTCATGTGCTTACGGAGGGGAACAGCCTCATTGGACGTGCCTTGCCGCCAATTTTCCACATGTCTGCTCGGTCAACCAAGTCTGTCCCGGGACCCACGACCACCCAACCCGGGGTTTCGTACCGCGAGGTCACAAGCGACGTGCTGGTCCCTCCTGTCCGACTCAGTATTCCAGGGCTCTGTGTGAAGCCATTGTCAATGCTTTTCTTCTCGCCTTGTCCCCCTTAGGTCTTAGACAAGGGCCGCTGCCCCTATCTGCCAACCCTGCTGCGCAGGCTGCCACCAACTTGCAACCAGTCAAGTCTCGTAGCCCTGTTTTTGTGCCAGAGTATAAGTGTCGGCTCCTTGCTCTTTTCGACGACTCCGGGGCCTGTGTCTGGGCTTCTGCGCCTTGCACTCAACACTTCAAACGTCTTCATGAATTCTCTGTGGGGGGTTGGAGCCATGAAGACATTTGCAAGTTTTTGTTAGACACGAGCATTGCTTGGTGTGTTTGCTCAGCTCTCGTCCCACCAGACGTTGAGCGTACGGCCGCGGCCAGCAAAGCCGCAGTGCTCGCTCTTTTATGGGAGCCTGCAGAATTCGTGCAGAAAGCCTTGGAGGCAAGATACCCATGCGGAATTGAGCGAGCTCTCCCTGAGACACTCAAGGTGCTGATACACCAAACAGCACACACTTGGTCTTCAGAAATTGCTTCAGAAAGAGCCAGGTTTATTGCAAAGTGGACCCGTGAAGCTGCAAATTTGGCTAAGGAAGAGGAAGAGCTGAAGAGGTGCTTGGACACGCATGTAGCCAGCGCTGTTTCGAACAAGCGCATTTGCTTTTTAGGAAAATGCTTGAGGAGACAGGTTTTGCTGACCTTGGTGCAGTGGACGAGCTTCAACTAGGTGCAGACCTGACAGGAGAAGTTCCTAAAACGCGGTTGTTGCCGCCGAAGTTTGTACCTGCCCTGCTAACACCTGACTCGCTCGCTATGCGCGCCAAGCTTGACAGAGACAGAGTCCTGCAGGTTCCAGGTTCAGGTGATAGTGAAATTGACCAAGAGGTCTACGACAAAACTATCGATGAGGTTAGGTGTGGTTGGTTGCGGGGTCCTCTTGCCCCCGAGCAGGTCCCTGCTGAAGCTCCAATTTCTAAGCGCTTTGGTTTAAGGCAGAAGCACAAAATCAGGTTAATCGATAACTTTTCAGAGTCCGGTGTGAATGATTGCGTAACTGTGTGTGAATCTCCAGTGTTGCATACTGTTGACGTCGCGGGTGCCTTGGTGACTTGTTGGCTTGAGGAGTGCGCTCATTCTCAGCGTGATGCGACCCTTTTCGCGCGCGCGTTCGATTTGTCCAACGCATACCGGCAAGTTGCACTGAGCAAAGAGGGTCGAAAGTTCAGCCACATAAGTGTCTTCAACCCGGCCTTAGGACATCGTGAGATTTTTCAATGCTTGGTGCTGCCCTTTGGAGCAGTCCGAAGTGTGCATTCTTTCCTGCGTATAGCCAGAGCTTTGTGGCGCCTCGGTGTAGTAGGATGCAAGTTGATGTGGTCGTCGTTCTATGACGATTTCATCACGTTCGCCCCCAAAGGGCTTGAGAGGAGTTCAGAGCTTGCTGCAGAAGCGCTGTTCAAGCTGACGGGATGGCTTTTCGCAGAGTCAGGGAGGAAGTGCGTGCCATTCAGCCAAACCTGCGAAGCTTTAGGAGTGATTTTCGACCTGTCATGTTCAGGGAGTGGCTTGTGTCGCATTTCAAACACCGAAGCCCACGTAGCAGAGATCAGCGCGGCTCTACTGGATGTAATTTCAAAGGGTTGCATGACGAGAGCAGAGGCCCAGAAATTGCGAGGTCGAATGCAATTCGCTGAAGCGCAACTTTTTGGACGCACAGCCAAGCGTTGTGTAAAGGTTTTGTCTAGCTTCACGGAGCATCGCCGATCTTTGCTGTCGGCCAAGGAGAAAGCTTTTCTTGAGTTGTTTCGCGCATACCTAGTTTCTAGCAGACCTCGTGAGTTGAGGGCATTAAACTCGAGTCCCACCTTGATTTTCACAGATGCCTGCTACGAGAGTGATGCGCGCTCATGGAAGTGTGGACTAGGAGGAGTTATGATTTCTTCAAACCGTGCGCAGGTTGAGTTTTTCTCGCTTGAGCTGTCAGATGAGCAACGGGAGGTGCTTGGTGAACGTAGTAAAAAGCAGATCATTTTTGAGACTGAAACATTGGCTGCTGTTCTTGCTTTTTCTTTTTGGTCTGCAGTGATAGGAAACTCAAGGACAGTGATTTTCGTTGACAATGAGGGCTCTAAGTTTGCTTTGTTGAAGGGTGTTTCCGACAATCTGTGCGTCGACTGTCTCGCCATGATCTTTGCAGAACAAGAAGCCAGACTAAGCTTGAGCCCGTGGCTTTCAAGGGTGCCTTCGCATAGTAATATTGCAGACCCACCGTCTCGCGGTGATCTAGAGCCACTCAAGTTCTTGAAAGGTGTCAATGCGTCTACCCGTGCTTCCCTTATGCTGGAAGTCGTGCTTGGCAGATACCTTGAAATGGGGGAGTGAGCTGCCAGTGCGACTTCCCCATCTTGCCAGAAAAGTGTGCGCAAGCGGTTTGCATTGAAGGATAAGCGGTAATCACTCCTGAGTGATTAAGTTTTATTCGAGTAGCAAATGAAAATGCTGTTCATTTTCAAGCTTGCAACTTTCGGCTTCAGTGGGTGGGTTGAGGCGGGCGCGCCTTCTTCTTTTGAGTTCGGACCCACCATCCACCCCTACGCCGCCAGACACTTTGCTCATCCGCAACCAGTTCTTGCTTCCTTGACGCTATCCCTGATGCGTCCTTGGGAAAGACTTGCAATTCTGGAAACTCGCTGATGGCCAATGCTTTGACCGCTCTTTTACGGTCTTGCCGACTGCCGCCGCAGTCTTCGCTTATATTAAAATTATTTACAAATTATATTGGAATAAAAGATCATAATAATTACTAAAAAATATTAATGGCAAGTTGTCCGTAGGACACCGCTTGTCACGTAGCGACCGGTAAGTGGCGGCCCGAGCTCCCTAGCTGCAGGTTAGGGACCCAGCTGCGCCGCCATGGATGCACGAGACGACATGTCTCTTGCATGCAGTCTCTCGGGCCTAAGTGCCTGGGAGACTGAGACGCTTGAGGAAGCTGGATGGTCGGTGACACGACTGGCCACTCTACAGGGCTGCGATAGGAGCCTCTTGGAAGCGGTAGTGTGGCGCATCCAGCAGAAGAAGGAAGAGTTCGCGCTAAGCCAAGAGGGAGATCGACGGGTGGAGGAGATCAAGAACATTGTCAAGCAGGCGAAACTGCCAGTGGCAAGGCGCTCCACTGACGAGGCGCTCATGATCCGTGTGGCGAAAGGCCGAAGGGCGAACACGCTGAGAAAACACGTCAAGACGTGGATGAAAACCTCGAGGTGGATCGAGGCGACCTTCGGCTATCCCTGGCCGGAGACGGGAGAGTCCTTCGCGGAGTTCCTGGAGGCAATGGTGGAGGAAGCTTGTGCGAAGAGCTTTCCAGAGTCCGTGTACAAATTCCTCATGTTCTTGGAGTACGCCGGAGAAGTTCCAGAGACAGAACAAGTGTGTAGATTTCCGGCAGTAAAGAATGCACTTGAGGAAGCAGCCCTACGGCTTCAATCGGTGGACCTTAGCTGCTGCCGGTTTCCATAGTGGTGGCCTTTGAGGCGCATGTCTGTAATGAGGGTGCGCCGAACTACGATCGCATTTATGCTTGGTTCCGCCTGGTGAAACTGTGGACTGGCATGCGCTTCGACGACACGAAAGGAACGCCGAATCGCACTATGGAGCTCCTGGAATTTGGTTTGAAGGGGGTCATCAATAGATCTAAGACCTCGGGTCCGGGAAAGCGAGTTTAACTCTTGCCCTTCTACATTAGCCGTGAGGCTTGGATCAGTGAGAAGAGCTGGCTCGAAGTTGGACGGAAGCTTTGGTCGGCCATGGGGGTGGAGTCCGGTTTGCAGATGAGAGACTTCATGCTGCCATGGCCGAATCGTGATCGCTCGGGCTTCATGAGGAAGGTTGTGGACGTTCGGGCTTCATGAGGAAGGTTGTGGACTACCCGATCGCTTCAACCATGTCGCAGGCTTTCTTCAACTCGATCAAGATGGGAAAGGGAGGAGATAAGAGAAACATCCTTGGGCCTGGTCTGGGGGTACTGTGGACAGAGTATAGTGAGAGAGTCATAGTACGGACATGGGCGCAGGCGGCACGCGTGCCAGAAGATATACGCAAGATGCTGGGGCGATGGAAGCCCTCGGCAGACGAAGGGTATGAGAGGAATGTGCGAATCAATGTGCTGAGGTGTCAGAGTACCTTGGCACTGTTCATCAAGGAGAACATGGCGAATGCAGACCCGTTCGACGAGATCACGGTCACACAATTGGTAGTACAGCGCCTGAGAGAGATGGGCAGTGCGCAGGACGACGAGCAGATGATGAGGCTCATGTCCTTCATGCCTGGCACGGGAGCAGCAAAGTGCGCGCCGGCGTCCGAAGTGGACGACAACAGGACCGGTGGTTCTGGTTGAGGAGCCGGAAGACGCAGTTGAAGTCAAGGCAGAAGGAGCAGAGCTGGCAGAGAATGACATGGGGGAGGACGAAGAGGCTGGCGACGTGGCGCCGATCGAGACGATCGCGGGCATGTACATAGTGTCTATAGTGTGGCGGTCAAAGACCAAAACACTCCATCGCATTGGGGAGTGCCACAGGCAACCTGGCCTCCATTACGCCAGTTTCGAGGTACTTGGAGAAGAGATTCCAAGTACATCGGCCTATCACAAGGCATGCAAACAGTGCTTCCGCAAAGGGATTGCGGAGGCAAGCAACGCTCTCGAGGAAGAGACCTCGGGAGAAGTCTCGTCTTCAGAGATGACGAGCACAGGACCCGAGAGCACGGGATGAAGGACCATTTTCAGGCGATTCATCTCGTGAAGAAGTCAGGACAGCACCGCGAAAGGCAAAGGGCAGCACGAAAGACGCGTACGCGAATGCGGCGGGTCGGGGAGTGTTGTTCTGGAGGGTTTAGGTGCTTGGACATAAAGTCCCTGCACGGGGGTCAAAGGGGTAATGCAAGGGACGACGCCGAAGGGGTTCGCGAGTCGTTCGGTCGAGTGTTGTAAGAGGTATTAGGAGGTGAGGTAGGCAGTGAAGCTGGCTGCGAGTGGATGTTGCAAGTGCATGGCATGACTTGACGACTGAGTGTTGTGGCCAGGTGTGATGAACTGCATGTAGGTTTCGGCCCATAGCAAGAGGGAGGGTCGGAACGCGCCGGCGAGAGATCGTCGGAAGGTATCGGGAGTGTCCGGTGATGGCAGGCATCGGGGCACGATACCGAGGAAAGGAGACGCAATGCCATTGCGTTGATTGACGCGGATCTACATGGTTTGCTCCAAGTCAAGGAGGTTGACGGGATCCTCTAGGCGAAGCTGGCCGTGGCAAAGGTGCGCACTATGAGCAGGATGAGCACAGTGGCAGATAACAGACCAAGATGAAAAATTATGCATAGATGTGCTTAGCTTGGATGAGACAAGAGACGTGGTGGAGATCGCATCTTTGGTCGACGCACGGGAGTCGGCGAGCACAAGCGTGACGGTGAGGAACAAAGCGGAAGCAGAAGCTGGCGTGGCGAGTCTGCCCAGGGCATTGAACAAGGTGGAAGTGTAAGACTTATTGGTGCGGTTTCAGAAGGTGCACGGAGTGAAGCTGGAGGACAAGAACACGCCAGCAGCATCCACCTTGGAGCAGATCTTCGATCAAGTTGAGCAGGGCGAAATGAAGAACATGAGCCTGGTGCAGTTTCTGAGTAGAGAGGATGCCGAGGCAGACATCCTGGGGGCTACGGTCGAGAAGGGCACGGGCACCCTGAAGATTAAGAAAGGGTATGGCGAATGTCAGAAACCACGAAACCCAGAGGAATTCCGTAGGCGCATGGCCGTGGTGGCGAATGCATACCTGCTGGTTCAGTTGAAATATTCCTAGAAGGCTTCGCTTAGAGATCTCCAGCCCTAGCACTTTCTTAAGTACTTGGACTTGATGTTGGGGGATCATGTGCTCGGCCTCAAAGCCCGGGATAAAGATGGAGCAGTCGTTGCCTCGCCTGATTTTGATTTGATGCTCTCGTACGACTACTACGTACGACGCCAGTTGATCAAGCTGGTGAACGAGGGAGAGGTCATGGCGATGGCGCTCAAGGAGGCGATGACCGACACCATTATTAAAGAGAGATACCATTATTAAAGAGAGATACTTCAATCAGCCACACATCGTCTTCGGCCAGGGGCGACTACCATCGGTCGCGTAGCCCACCAAGGGCTTGGGGATCCTCGTGGAACAATGAGGGCTACGAGCAGCCGAAGGGAAAAGGCAAAGGAAAGAAAGGGGGAAAAGGCAAAAGCAAGAAGGGCCGCCAATATCATGATCGTACCCTAGATGGGCGTCAGATCTGCTGGAAATGGAACAATCCAAGAGAAAGGTGCAGGTTCCAATGCGGCCGTTTTCATGTTTGCTAGATCTGCTTCGGGGCACACCCTTCGCATGCATGTGATGGCTCGGGCAAGAGCAAGGACACAGCGGGCTCGGAGAGCCCAAGCAAGGAGCTTGAAACGAGGTAGAAGGGGGAGCAGCCTCATCTCCCCCTTCGATGAAGAGCACAACGAGGGGCACACGTCTTCGCAAGGTCCTCTACTTGTTTAGTGGAGCGCAGAGGAAGGCATCCGTGGCTGCGTTCCTACAGGAAGAGGGCCGGCAAGCAGATATGACATTTGAAATGCATGAGATAGACATACAGAATTCACCAGAGTGGGACCTTACAGACCGGTCCCTTCAGACTCGGTTGCTGCAAGAGATTCGTCAGGACTACTATCACGTGGTCCTGATCACTCCGCCTTGCTCTACATGGTTTCGGGTCAGAGGCGCCAACTGCCGTGGACCGCCCCCTATTCGCTCCAGGGAACATCCCTGGGGCTTTCCATGGTTGTCCAAACGCCACCAGAAAGATGCAGACCTGGGCAGCACCCTCATACGGTTCATGATTCAAGTTTTGCAAGAGCTGGAGTTGCACCCATCTTCGGTTGACGGCACAGAGATTCTGATCTTTGGAGAGCATCCGGAGGATTTGGGCACCATATGGCGTGAAGAAGATGGCATGAAGATGGAGCCAGCTTCCATTTGGCAACTACCGGAGGTGCGACGTTGCACTCGGGATTCACAGTGGTCTTCAATCAGTGCTGTTGGACTGCTCCTTATCGCAAGCCCACACGTTTGCTGACAAATCTTAAGCCTTTGCGGCTGTGGGGGCCTTACACTTGGCCTACATTCGACGCTCAGGGTCGCTATCAGGGACCAGCAACAGACATCTGCAAGTGCGCACCCACAGTTTCCCTGGCTCGCTCAGCTGATGACGATTCCTTTCGCACTACTGCCACTTCCATCTATCCGGAACCTATAGACCGAGCTATAGCACAGGCCATTCTGGATACTTTCGCCATCCCCCCCTCCAGGGCTAAAGAGGGGGGG